TTGTAAGGCCGACTACGCTGCGCGACGGAATAGGACGATATCGTTGTCCGTTTACTTAAAAATGAAGAACTGTTTTACTTAATAGATCGTGAATTTATAGACTGAACGAGACGTAGACTAGAGTGACGAGCGACGTTGAAGAATATGAACGAGGTTACGCAGGAGTAAAAAATGACTGACGGAGGTGGTCAAGAGTTCTCGTTTTTATATGTTTCTCGCCGAGAGAAAACTTGAAGATCATTGGTTGATCGCGAGGTGGAAAGGGACCTTAGGAGTCCCGGTCGTATCCAGTGTCGCAGGTAGCAAGAAATCCCGGAAAGGGCGACCGAAGGGATGCGTGCTGGCGACCCTGTGAAGGAAATGTTGCCGATGAAGTGTGCGTTATCCGAAATTGCAGAAATGACTTTATTGCCGGAAAGGAGACGGCTCGAAGGAATTAGAAATTTAGAAACTGCAGGCGAAGGCTCTACGAAATTGAAGGCCTAACGAACGTGACTTTTGTCAATTGCACGTCGTTTGTCGAAGGACCGTCAATTTGCCACGCTGCACCGAAGGTTCCCCGTAAATAAACTGTTTTTTAGGGTCCGTCCCGGAGAAAGTCGGGCGGACACAGCCGGAAAATTCCGTTGCAAGACGGAACATTTTTCATTTGAGGCTTTGTTTTGAATAAGCATATAAGTCACCAGGATCAACAAAACGCATTTTTTCAATTATCGTTATAGGCTCGAATAAATATTAAAAACAAAAACAAGAATTTTTTATTCCTTTTTTGTCATTCCAAGTAATAACAAAATTTAAAAAAAGTAGTGTAGACATTATCTAGGAAACTAGCCCCTATGTCGACTAAAAAAAGTTCAAGTCATTTGGATCAATTTAAAAAAAGTTATTCCGTTTGAAAAGCAGTCAATATACTTCTCGCGGCGAGTGTACACTATTGTTATGATGATGTTGGGCTTGGCTCTTTCAGCATCCCCTCCAGAGACGACATGCTCGTTCTTCTATGTATGCACTTATGTACGTATATACTGTATGAGAACGTTTGCAACTTGTTTATCTCTACTCATTAAGGAAGCTGACGATCCGGGAGAATTGCACCTCGTATCCATATGAACACTTCACATATCAACAGTTATTTAGTTGTCCTACATGTATTGAAGATTAACAATTGCGAACTTTATAGTAAATTGTTTAGTAGCAGGAGCTGTGCTATTTAATATTAATGCCGAATAATTTAAATTGCGTTAGTTGGAGTAACTTGTTGCGTGAAGTAACTTCAAGCGCGAGCTATTAATTTTCGTTTTGAGATTTTGCAGCAAGATTGATTGCCTGAACCTACCATCAGAGTTTAAGGTATTTTTCAAATATTTCTCTTGCTCGACTTGATATTAGACTACAGTTTTAGTATTTGATCTTTCATTGGGTTATGTTAAAAGGTGTATACACATATGAATTATACGTGTTAGTTTCTATTCTTATATTATCCTTCTTGTACACATTTAGACATGTTCCTTTTCACGAGCCGATTACTGAATCTTGTACAATAACTTGTTCTTTCTGTGCAAACCTATCAGTCGAGTCATTGCTTATGATACATTAGTAACTCTCGCATTTTTCAGAACATTAATTGAGATAAATTGATTTTATCTATTAGCTTTTTTGTTTACATAACGCGTAGTATGTATCATAAATATGCCAACCTCCTAAAATTATAATAATTTAATTTTTTTGAAATAAATTGTACCATAAAAAATGTTCGTAATATGAGCCGCTTCCTTACTGTTGAAAAAGAAACTTTAGCCTCGGACAAAAATTAATCTATAGTTTACTTTGGACTGAGATTCGAAAATATCAGATTACGTTTTCACCGGTTCCGTCAGCGCGCACCGACGGTGATGTAAACTGTATATCTAAGATACCGCAATATATCATCGCCGGTGTCGTTAGAACACACCGCGCTCTGACTTTCAGTGATCTCAGTACCGCGTATACAATGTAAGATGTGATGAATGACCGTCTATGATTGGTGGAGAAGACGACACCAAAAAGGGTATATAAGCAGGCGATTTTCTGTTGCCGGTCTCTAAGTTGAATTTGGTCACTCATTCATTTCGTACATATATACCTTCTCTCAAATAAAAGTAAAAATAAAACTTTTAAGAAAAAGAATTAATATCATATTCATTTAAGAAATAATCCAAGCCATAATCCCAATATCAACCAATTTCAACGAAATAAAAAGAAAATGTATTGGTTAAATTTTTGTTATATGTTCACACAGATAAAAAACTTTAGGAACATGATTCTTTAATTTTTGTTATCATTCCGCTTTATTTCGCTCGACGAGATGTCTGCATGCAGGTGGACAACGGAACGTGATCAGCATAATTTATTCTGTTGCGTGTGGTTCGATTGGAGATTTATTGAGCTAAAATAACATGGTTGTAAGTGTAAACTTTTATTAATATATGGTTTGAACAAAAGTAAAGTAGTGGCCGTATTAAGTGTATGTTTGGATTTTTCCCGTTCTGCTGCCCAAGCGATCCTTCTTGGTCAACGGTCTAATTTTCTCTGGCTCTCGGCCCGGCTCGTCCCTGCAAGGCCAGCCTCCACCGCATGGCCAGTCCTTATCTCCCAACCTAAACATCCTGGGTTCTTTGAACCCGAATCGGACAAAGCCCCTCTGTGCGTTCCGTTACATAAGAAAGTTTTAAGATGATTGTACCAAATTTTCGTCAACTCTTTCCTTTCGGAGTTTTAATGTTATTTATTGGTAATGTACAATGTCTTTTTAGATTCGGAAAAACTATATCGTATAATAAAAGATGGGTACAAAAAAAAACCTTAAGCATGTTATGTTAGCTAAAAAAATTTCCAATCGAACCACTAGCAGCAGAATAAATTAAGCTGATCACGTTTCGTGCTCCACCCTGTACATTTTTTTATGGTTATATATACAGAGTGGTCCACTTAAACGTTTATAAAAGACGTCATCCACACGTTAAACTTTTATTATTATTCAATTACCTTAATTCTATTCTGTTTTATTCTATTTTTAAATTATAAGAACAATTTTCCTTTTATTCCATAATTTTACTTATTTAAATTCAGTTCATGATCCGTTAAGTTATATAGGAAAATTAAGATAAAATAAATAAGTGAGCGAATTCCACCTTTATGTCTTCTGGGTAACATGTAACTACACAAACGAAAATCATACATCTCATTGAAGAAAAGTTCCAGCTTTTACACTTGGTAAGTAATTTCTGTCTTTTCTCATCCAACGTGAATTTTATGTGTACAACAGTTTCCAACAATTGTGTATTCCCGTGATGCGTTATGTATACGTTATTTGTTGATACAATTAAACCTATTCAACTTCTTTCATATTTTAATATGGAATGTATAATAATCGTTAGCGGTAACTTAGTTTGGAAAAAAAATCGAAGGCAGATAACCTGGTGCTACTCCACTTTCAGTTAATTTACACAGTGCGACAAATAAGTTTCGAGACTCGGACTATTTCTCAGTAATTAATAGTGCCATCTATGTTTTTAGACCGGCGTTTGGAAGCTGCGACATTCCTCTTTCCGGTAGTATCAATTTTGGCTCAATCGATTAATAAATAGCAAAGTTATAACAGTTCTACCTAAACAACTTTCTTGTCGATGTTGAAATATGATTAAAAATTGTTGCGTGTCAATCATTCCAAAGAAGTCGTTGCAGTCGCCGAAAATGTTCCAAACTTCCTAAAATCAATTGTTACGGGTGACAAAACATGTTGCTTTCAGTACGACCCAGAAACCAAGCGTTAAAGTGCGGAATGGAAGTCGATAGATTCACTGCAAGCCAAAAAGCACGGAAGTTCCATCAAAAACCAAGGCAATGCTCATTACATTCTTCGATAGCAAAGGAATTATCCACAGGGAATTCGTTCCAACTGGCCAAATAATTACTGGATATATTTAAATTGTACATCATGTATAAACACCTTGCATAACGCGAAACACAGCATAGATCGTCTGTCCGCTGTAATGCTTGCCAGTTACACGTCCCCGTAAAAATACAAGATATATGGAGAGATACAAATTAATATCAACTCGTGTTGAAAGTTCCGAAAGTTCCGAATGTTCCAAAAGTTTTAAGATTGTCGCAACAGAACACAATCAGAATAAGACTTCCCGAATGTTTTACACCAGACGTCTTTGAGACGTCTTAAAGATATCTTTGTGCCATCTTGGTTGGTGTCCGCTCGTACATACTTTTCATGGACACCCTGTCTGTGGGTATGAAATGCGGATAAATGTAGAAATCTGCTATAGCTGTACTTTACTCGCATTGACTGCAAAGATCGTCAAATATAATGTATTATTCTATTAAGTTATTTTTAGTTACATCATATTAAAACTAATTAGAGAAAAACTTGTTACTATTAAAGAAACTGGTCAAGATACAAATTATTAGTTCTACTACGTTAAAACTAAGAAAAAATTGCTACTATTAAAGAAGCTGGTCAAGATACATAAAAAAATTAAAAATTATATTACACTTACTTAACTAAAACATAATAATAATTATTTGCTGGAAGAAGCACGTCAGGTTAAATGATTTATTAATTAAAACAAAACATTACATTCTAATGGATTTGCCACGCGTCGAATTTCTTGAACCTGGTCGAGTTTGTACATGAGGTGCAACTACTCTCACCTGTGCAGGAACTGGAACTGCCCTCCGTACCTTCGTCATTGGTTCTTCAACAGCTGCCGCAGGAAAACGTTCTCTTCGTCTCTGCATTACGCGCTGTTTATAGTGTCTCGCGGTTCGTCTCAGGATAGGATCATCCTTGCAGACATTCAGCCACTTACCTGACACTCTAGCAGCGCAAAGCAGAGACCGAGGATCCAACATGCGTAGGATTAACTGCGACACCTCCGGCGGAAGTTCAGAAATAAAATCCGCCTTGGTAGGGTCGAGCACTCCGATCACATCAACGAAAGTCCTGAAGTTCTCCATAATTGCTATTGTAGATACAAGGCGTCGAATGAACCGTTTGTCAAAATTTGTGGTTTATATATTCGTGGTCACGCTTCACGCTTCGGTGATCGTTCCGCAAGAGTGACTCGACCAATCAGGAACGGTTACGATTGGACATATAATTTCCTCATAATTCTATTGAGTTGTACTTAATTTAAAAGAAACTTGCATTCAGGCATACTGTGAAATAAGAATGCAATTGTCGTAGGGTTGATGTCACCATAGGCAAAAAGTATTCGATTCGATAGAACGGACGTTTATCTTTATAATTATTATAATTATATTGTGTTTAATAACTATATATATATATAAATAAATACAATGTTAATATAAAATTTAGTTTCAATGGTTTTTGATGTATGAATAAAACAACATTCAATATTTCGTACCGTTTGCTTTATTCTTCAATAATTTTCTCAATTCCCATTCGTCGATCAACGTAACAAACTTTTATAGTGACAGCAATAATTTCGATGTTCGAATTGAAAATATCACCCTGTACAGACAATAATATTCTTCGTTTTTAATAATAATTTATTTCAATAATCGCATTTAGGATTCTGCTTGAATATTTTCTCCGAAGAGTAGTCCAACATTCTGATGCATTTTCTACGTATTACTATTAAGGGGCTTATGCTATCCTAATTCCGTTTTGACAGATTTCGAAGAATTGTCGGAAACACTGCCTTGGCTTCGAATCTCATATGTAGTACAATTTTTCACACCTGCGCGAAATTCAACATTTTCCACTACACTCCGGACAGTGATAACTACTCTCCGTAAGTTATGTTCTACGAATGGAGTTTCGGAAGTTTTTATATCACGGTTATATACGAACGGGAGACGTGTACTGGGACTGTGATATGTAGCTATACAAATTTATTATTATATTTGGGTGTATAATTATAGAAATTATTTCAACACTGTAGGATATACATATAGAACTGACACGAAATTATTTCTTCAAGCTTGAAAAGCCATTTTTGGTTAAGTAGATTGTTAATATAAAGTAAATGCTTCGTAGCGTATTACAGAATGAAGGTTTTGCATTTTATACAACCTTATACTAAATTAAACTTTTCCGTAACATTATTTTCTAAAGTATAATTGGTATTTTGGAATGCGTGTCCTAATTTTATACAAGATTCTACAATAAGCTTGAAATATTCTTCTTTTTATACATTAAATTGAAGATAGTAGAAAAAGCTGTCTCCAGCAAATCAAAATAAAATTGGTTAAAGTACCACTCCACGTTACGGAATAGCAAATTCCGATTTTCTACTACTACTGGACTGATCTTCACGCATTTATGATATATGCACGTTTATAAAATGCAAGTAAAAGTGCATTTTGTGCAACAAAAATTGATTCATTATCTTTCTGTAATATTTCAAAGATTAATTCATAATATTTTTGTATTATATTGTCTTACGTTGACCAGAAAGCATTTTGTAGTTGACATCAGAAATTTTGTCTCACACACACATACCACAAACAACCACGCACACACACACACACTTCCGATTTTTATATAAAAATTCATGAAAGTTTACATAAAGATTCGCAGGTGACGGAGAATATATTTGCGGTTAACTATTTAATAAATAGAGAGATAGCATGGTTGGGTGTTTTGTAGATTTTAAAGCGGCATTCGACAGGGTAGATAGATACAAGATATGGGCAGCGATAAAGGAAAAACGGGTGAGTGAAAGGTTAGTGGAAAGTGTCAAAGAAGTTTACACGGAGATATATTTTAAAAATGATGCGAAGAGAAGAGTATGGTTATTCGTTACCTTAATATGACCTGTGACAGCATATGGATTAGAAGTGTGAGGATGGACAGAGAGAAAAAGGATAGAATCGATGCAGGAAAAGTATTTAAGATAAGTAATGGGGAAGATTTAGAGAAGAATTGGAAAGAGAGAGAATGATGAAAACAGGCGCAAGGAGGTCCTGGAAGTTTGAAGAAAGGTTGCGAGAAGGGGGAGAATGCGGAATAGTAAAAGAATGTTTGAAAGAGATAGAAGCAAGAACGAGAAGAGGAATGAAAGAATGGAAAAGGGGAAGAAGAAAGGAAGAAGTACATAGAGAGTAGAGGAAACAGAAAGGTGCTAGAGGATGAGAGAAAGGAAACAAGAGAAGTGGAATGGAAAAAGATTGAGAAGAGGCAGGCGGAAATACAGGAAAATGAGAATTGGAGAAAAGCAAAAGAAGTGAAATACAATAAGTGATAAAAATAAAAGGAGAGGAAGTACGGGAATATCTGAGGAAATGGTGGAAGGAAGAAAGATGGAAAAGATTGCAAAATTCACATTAGGAAACAAAACGAAGGGAGGAAGGTATTGGGAAACAGAAGAGAATAGGAAATGCAGGGTACGTGGAGTAGGAATGGAGGAGTGGGGACTATACTAGGGTATTGTAGGGAATGGAAAGAAGAGAAAGGGAGTTTTTATAAAGTGGTTAAAAAAATTTGGCAGGTGATGGCAACGTGGAGGAGAGGATTAAGAGTCTAGAGGAAGAAAGAAATTGGAGAAGGGACGGTGGGGCCATAGGAAGGGAAAGGGAGAAGAAGGAGCCAAAGATGTAAATGATGACCACAGGAGAAAAAGAAGAAAATATAGAATAAACAGGAACGGAGATCCGGTAATGATTGAGAGAATCTGAATGAAAGAAGAATGGAGAACGAAATGGAGAGCAAAAGAAAAATAAAGAGAAATGGGATGGAAGGGAATAGATGTAAAAATAAATGAGGTGAAGGAATATTGTAAGCGAAGAGTGGGAAGATGGGAAAAAAGGTACAGTGTGAAAAGGAGAAGGGGAATGGCAGGAGAGAAAGAGAGAGAAAAAAGGCGAAGCGCAGCAGTAGTTTTAATACTAATTTTAAGATAATTCTAATTTATAATAGAATAAGATAAACAGTAAGCAAAATTAGAAAACAAAAGTATTGGTAGAAGAAGGACGGAGGTGACATGTAACCATATCTTCTTGTACCATATATTGGTAAAGAAACAATGGGAGTTTTGCTTAAAGCAAATTCATGTAGTGTCGATTTAATTTGTCACATTTGAGATAAACATATAACGAAATAATTAATTATTTGAAATTGTTATTATTTCAAATGGATCGATGTTTTTATCATTTCCAAATAACAACAATGAGTGGATCAGTCCGAAATGCATGCAAATAAATTCAAGACATACATTGAAACAAAGAAATGTGCCATTAATTTAAGCGTGAATTGTTAGTCAAATGAATCGTCAAAAAACTAATTAGAAATTGAGTAGAAATATGATGAAATATTTTGTTTATTCCTGGAAGCATTTCTAAATGCTATAAGTAATTTTCAATAAGTTTTAGTATATTTAAATATTATTTTCAGGAATCATTATTATCATGGCTGATTGTCTCCAAATACTCAGCGCCATTACGTTGGTGTTCATTGCTGTCTATTATTACTTAACATCATCCTTCGATTTTTGGAAAAGTAGAGATGTACCTGGACGTGAGCCAATACCTGTATTTGGCAATATTAAAGATGTTTTTTTCAGAAAAAAAAACATCTTGGCATCTATATAAGACAGCTGTGTATGAAAAATACAAAAATGAGCCCCTTATTGGAATCTTCCTAAGAGGAAGTTCTAATGTTGTCGTATGTGACATGGATCTCATTAAGGATGTTCTCATCAAAGATTTTTCTGTTTTCGATGATCGTGGAATCGTTATTAATGGGAAGGTAGGCATAACAAATGTATTTACGGATATTTTTCTTTGATGATTGGGGGACTAGTATATACTCGTATAACAATGATTAAAATGCTTTTTTAGAAGTTTATTATTTTCCGCTTCTGATGTATATAGGGTGTTATATGATTACTCTAACAGCCGAAAATGGAGAGGTATCTGAGGTCATTTGAAGTAATTCTTTTCCTAGCGAAAATTAAGTGACGAGCTGGGCGGATGCAAGGGGTTTAGCGAGATTTTTATTAATTTAAATAATTCCGTGTCCGAACAGAATTCAACGAATAATTTGCAAAGCTGTTTTATTTATAAATAACTCCGTTAAGGAGTTGTTTGGGGATTCGTTGTTTGAGAAATGTGAAAAATTTCATTAATAAGATACTTACACATTTAGTTGTAAATCCACTTCATGATCGTAAACATGTGTCAGGAGAGTAGTGCACTCACCTCGTAAAATGTATAATGAACTGCACCGTCGATCTGCATCAAACATTGATCAGTTATTTAATAATAATTAGGGAAGGATTTTCCTATCTTAGTATGTGTGGCCCTGAAAAATGCCGATAACCTTGACATAAATGCTCAATGGGTTAAAGTCGCCGTCCAACTTGAGCGACATCAGATCAGCAGTGACATATTTTGGATTATTCAGGGAAGTGAAAAGGAAAGAGAGGAATATTAGACACGAAAATTCGAAAATATAATTTTAATTGTGAAAAATGATTTGTGGGCAAGACTGTGTAATCGTAATATTTATACAAATGAATCCATCGCATTTAATACGTTCTTGTGTGGTGGACAGTGCACAGGATCCTTCAAAATATCTGAAACTATCAATTACCTCGGGAATTAAGAATTTTTGAGAACTGTGGAAGTATTAAACATAACACAGTTAATGCTCACAACCGTTATCACCTTCAATGGGAGGGTTAAGGTCACATTAAAGTATACATGATTTTTTTAAATGGAACACTGTATTTATTACTATGCACTATTCAAGATGATAGCGATATGCTTCCTAAAGCATCAGTTGTTTATGTTTTTCTCTTAAGCTGTCTGAATCATGAGCTTCGAAACATGAGTTCCCCAAAGTCTCCAAATGATCGATTGTTTCAGAACCAAAACGTTTCTCAGGTTACGGCTTAAAATGTTAAAATATTCTATTGAACGGCCATATGCCTTTTATCTCATGTGGGTGGGTCAAAGTTATGTCAATCCCAGCGTGTCTGTCTGAGATTGCA